CTGGCTGGGGAATTCTGGGAGTTGAAGTCCACCCATCTTCAAGCGGCCAAGGTTGAGGAACGCAGCTGGTGGGTCCAGCCAGGTTGAAGTTGGCATCGTAACTCCATCGCAGCCCAAGGCTTCTCCCCAAAAATCCGGAAATATCTCCTTGGGTGCGACAGCTGGTCCTCAAAAAGCCCAAAGTCGGTTTGGTGATTTTATTCTGAGCAAAAGACACCGCCAGCATGCTTAACAGCCCCTGGTGCTGCCGGGAACCCACCTACAATCTGGTTTTGCCTCAAAATGGCATCGTGAAAGGTGCCGTTCGGAGGCCACCTTCGGCCCAGCGCAGCTCCGCCCTTGGTCCGGCTGCTCTCGCGCGGGGCCTTTTCGCCAAAGACCGTAGCATTTTACTCGCACGTTCTTCTCCTAACCTGAGTGTGGAATGTGGTGGTGGAGAAATGGGTCCCCTCCAATGTCTGAGTTTTCGCCACTGCCCAGATTGGCCCCGAGCTGTACCTTTCTTGGGCCGGTGTTGTTATATTTTCTGAAGTGGAAGGAGCTGCTGGGTGGGGCCTCTTTGGCCTTCCAAAGGGGTTCGGAGTCTGCAGAACGTCTAAAGTTTTGCAAAGCAGACACCGCTAACAAGTCTGGTTCTGTCTGAAAAACAAACAGAAGATCTGTCCTGCAATGAGGAAACCTGGGTTTGTGACTTTCCGAGATGGAGCAATATTTAATCTGCAGGCCGGGAAGGGTGAACCAGGTGTGAGAATGTGCGGAGCTCTGAGACTTCCCGCTGAGCAGGAGAGGAAGTGAAGACTCTGCTTGGTTGGAGAAGGGGAAACTGGAAGGGCTGGGCCGTTCATGGGCAAATTTAGATGCCAGGATCCCCATGGCTCATTCAGGTGAAGGCACCCGCTAGAATGGGCTGGCTGGCTTTCTCCCTCTGCCCCGAAAGTTCCCGTCTCTGTTTATAAAACCGAAATGGCGCGCCAAAGCCACCTGATACCTTATCGACTTCATTACTTGAGAAAACAAACCTTGTTTGTCTGCAGGGTAAACGCAACCACAGGGTCAGCCAGTCAGGGCGGAACAGGCCAGCGGCAGGGCAGTTGGGAAGCTGGAGGAGTTCGGTTGGGGGCTGTCGCCCGCAAAGGGGTTCTGCGCCCATTTCACAGGTGTTGTCAGCTGGAGGTGTTGCCTGAGGTTGGAAATCTGGACTCCGGTGACGGGGAGAGATCGTGAATTCGGTAGAGAGCCATGTTGGTTATGGGGGCAGGAAGTCACACAGCTCACAAAAGTTTGTGTCTTTTCATAAGACGCGTGAGTCAGAAAAGGTGCTCCCGGACACCTCCTGATTTTTTTGTAAAGGGGTGATTATCTCAGTGGTGACAGAAGAAATCAGGTTTCCTTAGCTGAAAATGTGGTTTAAATGAACACTATTTCCTCTTAGATGTGTGTTTAATAAGAAAGTTGCTCACTGAAAAGGCAGTGAGGACCCCTCCTTAAAGCCAGGAATCCTGGTTCTCCCCCCCCCCGGACCTTTACACACACACAAATACACACCCACACACGCCCGGCACCTATATGTCAATGCTCCCCTCTCTGTTTTCCGCTCCAACACTGAGGTTTCACCGAAACGACACTCTTGTCTTTGTTCAGGCAGCCGTTGCCTGGTGTGTGTGTGTGTGTGTGTGTGTGTGTGTGTGATGACCGTTGTGCCTGAGTGCAGTTGCTGGCACACCTGTCCCAAGGGAGGGGTGATGTCACCTTGCCACCGGGGCCGTGGGGAGAGGAGGAAAGGGTGGGGCTGATCTGCCCCTCCATATTCTGGAAGGCAGAAACTGGGAAAGGTGGCCTTGGAAACACCTGGAGGGCAGAACTACCCCACTCCTGACTGGTTTGGGGAAGAGGCAAAGCCTGCGACTTTAGGTTCCTTTTCTCCCCCTGCCCCACAAAGCCAGGCTTTAAGCTGGATTATTGCCAGGAATCGCTCATCGTAGGTGATAATAGAGCACTTTCCAGGGGTGTCTGCAGGGTGTGATCGAAAAAGCCGTGGCGGACCTCTGATCGCACCCCTGGGCCTGCGGCCGTGACTTCTTTCTGACCCCACCCAGCAGACACCCCTGCTTTGCAACCGCCTTCCCCAGTAGGATCATCTGGGGGGTGGGTGAGATAGGCCCAAGTCCTTTCTGGCTGGGAATACTGGGAATTGTAGTCCTCGGGAGGCTGCCTTTGAACACAGAACGTGTTGCACCTTTTCGGTGTGGGCGGTAAACCGGGAAGAGGTTGGACTTTTATTCCAGGTTCCATCTGATGTGGTGGAAGGAGGTCAGGGAGAGTTTGGCCAGATGAGGGGGGCTCTTGGGGCTCAATCCAGATGTGGCCCCAGAGGCTTGCTGCTCGTGGTGAAATAGCAGGTCCCCCATGCACCCCCCCAAAAATCAGGCACAGGGCGTGGTTACCACCGAACATATTTAGAATGCCCCAAGAATAACTTGTTAAGGACACCCTCCATCAGACAGACAGACAGACAGAGAGATGCCCTTATCCAAAAAAATCAAGGTGGGGTTATCTTTGGTTCCAGATAAATATTTAACTTTTTGATGTAGAAACCCTTTGTCTATGATTATACTTTACAATATCATAAACCTTATTGATGGGAGGGGCTTTAACTCTCGTGGGGTGGGGGCGTCCTGGAGTGACGTGCCCGGGACTGCACCACCCCCAAACTGCTGAGGCTGAGATGAAAAGGAGGCGAGTTCAGGACAAAAACGGCCGGAAGCTCTCATTACATTTCAATTGAGCAAAGCATGAATTAATTAAAGGCTGTTAATAGGGTTATGCTCTGTGGACCTAGCTGTTTTGTCTTCTCTTGCATTTAAGACTGCAATTCAGGGACAGCACATGGAGGGGCTGCCCCCAAGGGTTGAGTGTGGGGGGGCTGCTTTGTCACCCCTGCCCCCTTTTTGCTCCCCAAATCCACCACATTTGGAGTTGGGAGTTTGAAGTCTGAAGACTTGCTCCTCAGCCAGCCTCTTGATGTTTTCTGGTCTTTATTCGTGGTCCAGAGTTTCACTGGATAGATTTATCTTATTTTATCTTATTTATTTTTGCAATTTCTATAGCCGCCTATTTCAGTCCAAGTGACTCTGGGCAGCGAGGTGGGTGGCCTTATACATCTGATAAACAAATAAAATCTTGCCTCCTGGGACCCTTGTTCAGAGCCCCCGCTCCCCCCGCCGCCAAAGAAGTGTAGATTTCTTCTTGTTCCCTCTCGGCCTCCATGAGCTGTTAACGCAAGGTGTGGTTTTATAGTTGTGGTGTGCAAATGGCTCCCTTAGACTTTGCCACCTGGATAGGTTATGGAGGAGCCAAAGGTGAAACTGAACAGTGATACCTTTTCCATCTTGTGTGTGTGTGAGACAAGCAAGGCCAGGCTGGTGATTCCGTGCAGCTGGGCTGGGGAGGCCCCCCTTTCAAGGAATTGGGGGGGTCAACCCTTCAGACGTGGCCTATTTCTGGACAAGGGAAAGGGTGAAACTGCAGACCAGGGTTGCTGTGCTGAAAATCCCAGGCTTAATCCCAGGTGGTGCTCCCGGAAGAGACATAAAATGGTGCCAGAGAGGGAGGCAGAAAAGAGGGTGCGAAAGGACTTGCGGGCATGATCTGAGAGAAAACGGTTTAAGAAATGGGCAGATTTGACACATCCAGAACGTTGCAACAGTGCAGAGGGAAATAATTCACCCCATCTCTGGAAGGATCAGTTGAGCTTAGGAATACAAGCCTTTCTTTACTTTGGATTGACTTATTTATTTTGGCTTTTCCGAGCCAAATATCGAAGGCAGTACACAAACACATTTACTCCTCCTGGCTTTATCCCTGCAGTTTTCACAACGACAGTCTGCCTTTCTGACTTCCTGGCCTAGCCTGACAGGGCTTAAGTTGTAAAAGTTAAGCCTGGCGCTGCCCCTTCTGAGACCGGCCATATAAGCAGATTTGCGTCATTTTCTTGGCAGCGGACGGTTCTCGCCTTCTTCCATCTGCTGTGGCCGAGCTCGACCCTCCTTAGCTTTTTCAGCTCACCTGGGGTCAGCTCGGTGATGGCTCCTAAAATCACCTAAAAAATGTCTAAAATGACCTAGTAAAAACAGCTAGAAGATGTAGAAAAGAATCAAGCATCCATTCAAAAGAAAAGATTAGATTTTGGGGGTCGGGGCTGGCAATGGAAGCCCAGGGCATTGGGGGGCACTGGGAGGAGAGGGGGGCTCTGCGGGCTCCAGCCTGGGGGCTCCATCTTTTGGAGAAGATGTGGTCTTTAGGAGTGGATGGAAAAGGCCATGTGACAGGCAAGGTGGCGAGGCGGGCTGTGGGCACAGTGGTGTGCCAAGTGACAAAGCCTCATGTTACGGTGTTTCGCAGGATAACCCAGAGTTTCTGGTGCTGTTAGCGGGTGACTCATGCCTACCTCACTGGGCAGCCCCACCCTGTTCTTGGGGCACGTCATGCTCCTTGTGAAATTGTCCCTTTTTGTAGTAGCAAGAGTTTTCCTCCTCTTCCATATTTTTTTTTCTTTTTCCGTCTTATTTATCGATTGGGTTCATACCCCGCCTTCCCCTTCAGGAGCTCAAGGCATTGAAAGCTCTCCTTCCTCTAGTTTTCCTCCACAAAAACAACCCTGTGAAGTAGGAGTACAGAACTGCTGATAAGTCATATGGGACAAATAAATCTTGGGAGATCCTGTTATCCCAGGGTTTATTCCCAACAATTATTTCTTTTTTATTTTATCTTCCCTTTCCTTCAGGAACTCAACGCAGTGTACACCGCACTGCCTCCCCCCTTTTCCCCCAACAACAACCCTGCGAGGTAGATTGGGCTGAGAGAGGAATTGGCCCAAAGTCCCCTGGGGAGCCTCGGTGGCTGAGGGGGGGCTCGAACCCAAATCCAACACCATAACCTCTATACCAACTGGCTCTGTTCTTTTTTTCTGGGACCCTAGAACATTTTTAAAGAAAGGCACAGAGCTGAACTAATACAGCCACGATCTTTTTGCTTTTACCCGTCTTTATCGAAAGAGGGGAGAAACCTATTCTATTCTATTCTATTCTATTCTATTCTATTCTATTCTATTCTATTCTATTCTATTCTATTCTATTCTATTCTATTCTATTCTATTCTTTCAAATTTATCCACTGTCTGACTCCTGAGGACTCTTAGTGTGTGCAAGGACACACGTGGCAGATGCCCCTTGGCGCGCCTCCACGGATCCCTTTCTGAGAGGGGCTATTCCTTTGTGCCTTTTTACGCTCGAGCGTGAGTGCTTTAAGTATTGTAATATTTTCAGAGGAGGGCTTCAGTGAAAAAGGCTGGGAAGCGTGTGCCACACCCAAGCAAACACTCTGCGTTTCTGGTCTTTTCTGTCCTGCGAGGGATCTGCGAGCACCGCCTCTCCGATCTGTTGGCCCGCAGGTGTGCCGTGGGCCTGGCTGGGTTGGGGCTGTCAGGAGTTGCGATCCAGCTATCCGGGAAGAAGCGTCTGGTGCCCCAGGCTGGGCGCTGGGGTGCTTGGGTTCTCCGTCGGGGAGGCGAGGGTTTGGCCTGGAGGCTGCCAGGGCTGGCAGAACGGGGCTCCTTGGGAAAAGGGTGGCGGCTGGGTGTTGAGAAAGGAGGAAACTCTCCCGGTTGCCTCGAGCGTGACCCTCTCGCTTTGCCTCCACAGCTGCCATGCAAGCTACTCGGGCGCTGATGGTGATCTCCATTATCTTGGGCGTGATTGGCGGTGGAATTGCCACCATGGGCATGAAGTGCACCCACTGCGGAGATGACAACAAAGTCACCAAGGCCCGCATTGCCATGACCGGGGGTTTGGTCTTCATAGTCGGAGGTGAGTTTCTTCCGCCCCTTCCTTCCGGGCTGCACCTGACTGTAGTTCCCTAGCAGGCAGGGACTTGTGTCTTACACAGGCTGTTGGCACAGCGTCGCCTGACTGGGGTGCCCCAAGGGACGTTCACCCCAAACTGGCTCAGTCAAAACCAACCGCCTTATGCCTCAGTCACTGGATGAAGCAGCTCATCCTGGAGCCTCTGGGAAATTGCTAACCATGGTTTATAACACATCGGCTGCACTCACACAGCATGGTTTGCCTGCTCCCTCTGTTAACCCGTTTTCCGGCTCTGCGCTGAACTGCTCGCTGGCCTCCAGATGCTGGATTTGCGCAGCCAGATAGATGAAAAGGAATAAACATAGCAAAGTCAATTCTGGTGTAGTTTGGCCAACTAACCCAACCACCAAGCCTCTTCCTGGCCTCATAACGGTGGTCGTGTGAACACGGCCATTGGGAATCTGGCCTGAAAGTGGCAGAGTTGTGATTTCTTCCCAGTGCGTGGCAGCCCCAGCGTTCCTGCAGTTTTGGATGGCACCCACCTGCTGTCCCTTGCCAGCAGGGATGCCCAGTAGGTTATGGCCCAAAAGGTCAAGGTGGTGCTGCCACGGTGCAACTGAAGCGGCACCTGAGTTATGTGAAGGGAGCTGGACTCGGAGGCGTCATCTGCGTGGTCCCCAAAAGAGGACGAACTGAAACATAAAACTCTTCTAAGTCTGAGCCGGCTGGAAACCTATTTGCAGGATTCCCTTTCTCGCTCCCACAGCTCGGTTTCTGCAGATGAACTAGCAGCCTTAATAAGCTAATAGCCCCTTTTGCCCTCTGCAAAGACCCCAAACTGCTGAGGCTGCTGTGTCTGTTGGCAGAAATGGATTCCTTGGGGCAAGGCAAGGGTTCACAGGTGTGAAAGAAGGTGGGGGACGCTGGTTCGGCTGTGACTCCCATAATTTCCCACCACCGCCAATCAGCTGATTGGCAGAGCCTGGCGCACGTGGTAATCTGTGTGGAGGCAGTTCAAAGGGAGGGATTTTAGTCAGAGGTCAGCCACTTAATATCTGGCCACAGTTAAAGTTGCAAATATTTACATATTTATTTTAAAATATGCTTGCCACCTTTCAAAACTCAGGGCACCTTTGTATTGCAACATTAATCATTGTAGTTTGGGGGATTTTTAAAGAATGATAAGGATCAGCAGTGTGGTCAAACTTTACCACAGCGTATATATGTGGCAAACTTACTTTTGCCTACTGCAAGGCCAAAGTAGACCCTGCTGGGCCCTGAATCAGCCAAAGAAGAAGAATTTCTTTCCTGCAATTCATCGGCTTATGGAATCTCTGGGGAGGAATCCGTCAGAACAAAGATGCTGTGTTGTGACCCCCTTTTTTCCCCTCCCTCAGGCTTGGCTTCCCTTGTGGCTTGCTCTTGGATGGCACACCAGATCATAACAGACTTCTACAACCCCATGTCGCCCACAAATAAAAGGTACGTTGTCCAGAGGAAAGGGGGTGGGTAAACACCCCCCGGCCAGTTCCAGAGCAAACGGCTGCTTGTTCTGTCTCGTCTGACCCCCAGACTTAGAGAATCCCCTTTGCAATGCTTCCAGCTGCAAACCGAGATTCACTTGTTCTCCTGGCTCCGCCCCTTCTTTCCTGGCCCCGCCCATTTAGAGTACAGGGCCATTTGATGAGTGAAGGGGGCCCCAACCTCTGCACCCCAGATTTGGCATCCCCCCGCTCCCCCACTGCTGCTTCCAAGGCAGGAAGGAAACCTTGGAGGGCCGGCGGGACATTTGGAGAGCATCTGGTGACTGCTCCGGTGGAGATGGCCCCCACCTAGCCCCCGTTTTCCAGGGGGCAGCCCAGCCCAGCGAATGCTTTCCCCCTGCTGCAGATAAATAGGAGGCAGGGAGCCTTGTGGGCCCGCAAGGGGGGCTCTGGGAGGCGGAGGGACCTCTCTGAAAACAGCCTGCTCACGGCGGATCTCTTTTTGTATCCCAGGTACGAAATGGGCGCTTCCGTCTACCTCGGCTGGGCGGGGGCAGCCTTGTTGCTGCTGGGGGGTGGGCTGCTGGCCTGCTCATGCCCCGGAGACTCCGGCTACAAGGGCCGCCAGTATCCTCAAGGGAAGCCCGTCTCCAAGCCCCCCAGCAGCCGGGAGTACGTCTAGTTGCCCGGGAAACTCCCAAGCTGGTTCCGAGACCCACGTGCCCCCGAGCCTGGAACGGCCTGGACTTTGCTGCCCATCTGCACCTACTGGACTCTTTCGAATCGCCTCGGCATCCCTCCCCCCCAAGTTTTTAGCCTGTTTTATTCCTCCTCTGCCCTTTGATTCAATTGTTTTTTAAAATAGTGTTCCTGAAGGGAGGGTGGGGCCTTTTTATCCGCTTGTACATTTCGCTCTGGCTGCCCAGAATCCTGCAGAGGGATCGGAGGTGGGTAACACCCCTAATTCTTCAGCTGTACCGGCTGGGGATTATAGGGTTTCAAATCCAGTGCAGGAAGATTTGGCGGGTAAGAACCCACCTCCGGCTCAATAAATCTTTCTGGACAGATCCAAGGGTATTGGGTGGAATTACCCCGGTTCGGATTGACATACCGAGGTAAAGAAAGACCCAAACCACCGGTCGAGTTTTCCTTCCCCCTGACACCGAAGGAATTCGCATCTTAGGAGCTCTGCTACTCTTGGCCCCTGGAGCTCAAATTGTTAAGCGGGTTCTCTTGCAAATGTTTACATGTCAGGGCATCTGTTGTGTAGGGAATACAGATGGGTGTGGTGGCCAAGCCGAAGCGGCACGCTGGTTGAATTCTCGCTGGAGACTTTTTGCCACTTCAAAAGCTGTTTGGGTTGTGTAAATATGTACATTTGCTGGGGAACACTAGAGCTAAGAGAGGGCAATTTGATTCAAGCATATCCCTTCTGATCAGTTTTATCCCACCCCTAAATTCTCCCAGTAAAATGCTCTTGCTTTTATCGCAAAATCGTATTTTGGAAAATTTTACATTTACTAATGTTTGCTTGCTTTGTTAGATTTTAACTTTTTTCTTCATTGCATGGGGAAAGGGATGAATGAAAATTTGGATAGGAAAGAAGGTATTTTTAGAGTAAAACCTTGCCTTATTTAAAGCACTGACTCCTGAGGGTACTATGTGCATTTTCTGTATTTTTTAAAAAAATTGTATTGCTGGGAATTAATATTTTTTTGTATGTAATAAATAAGTGTTTTGGACAAACGCTCTCCTTAGTCTAGAGCAGGTCATAATGAAATTGATCTGTAAGCCCCCTGAAAACAAGTTTGTAATTTACCAAAAGTCAGCATGGCTTATTGCAAGAACAAACATCACTAGACTTATTATATTTTTTGATTGGGTAACTTTCTTAATAGATGGTGGGAATGTGGTAGACGTAATATACCTTGACTTCAGCAGCGTGAAAAAATAACCCACAAGCTAAATTAATTATCAAGTTAAATGTAGGCTAGATGGCATGACAGTTACATGGAAAACTGATTTGGAGGTCATACTCAAAAGAATGCTCATCAGTTGTTCTTCATCAAATTTAAGAGGTATGAAGCGGTGGCTACAAAGACTGATCCTGCTTCCTTCAATATTTTAATGAACAATTTGGGTGGAAGGCGAAGGGAATATTTTCAGATGATTTGAAATTGGATGAGGTGGCTAATACCCTAGAACAGTGTTTCTCAGCCTCAGCAACTTTAAGATGGGAGGGGAATTCTGGGAGTTGAAGTCCACACAAGTTCTGGGAGGAAGTCCATACATCTTCAAGTTACTAAGGTTGAGAAACACTGCCCTAGAAAATGGAAATAACATTCAAAATGGTTTTGATAGGTTGGAGAAATGGCTAAAAGAAACAATGAAATTTAACAAAAACAAGGGCAAATTTATTGTAGGAAACAGAAAACAGATGCATAAATATAGGACAAGGGACATCTGGGTTAGTAAAAATATTTGTGGAAAAGATCTTGGAATAGCAGTTGATTGCCACTGGCCAACAGTGTGATGTGGATATAAAGTCACCTGCAATTGTAGGTGACTCAATAGAAGTGTAATTTCCAAATTACAGGAAATAGTCATTCCACACTATTCTGCCCTGGTCAGACCTCACCTTGAGTATCGTGTTCCATTCTGGGCACCAGACTTAAAATTCAGAGAAACAAGGAGATTCAAAGAAGGGACCAGAGATGAATCAGGGGACTGGAACGAAAGAAAGAGAAAGGAGCTGAGTTTGTTTAATCTTGAAAAAAACTAACAGGTTGACTGGTACCTGGAAGGAAATAACATACCAGAAGGCCGCGCCCTTTGGCGCACAGGGCGCAGAATCGCAGGAAAGGGGGTTCCAGCTGAACGCTAGAAAAACTTTCTAGTAGGAAGAGCGACTGGACACCGCAACTCCTGACCCAGAGAAGCGGGGAGCTCCCAGCTGTTGGATGTGCTCAGGTGGGGGCTGGGCAGCCCTCTCTGAATTTGGACTTTTCTAGGGCCTCAAAGACCCCTCCCAGCTCTGGAATTCGGAGGGTACAATTTTAATCTTGCCATAATGCGTTACAAATCGCCTCTGTTTTGGAGTTTATTTGTAACATACAGTACAGTTAAAAGAAGCCGTACGGTAGCCTGTTGGGTGAACATAACCTAAAAACATTGACCTAAGACAGAAATAACAAAATACAGAACAACAGCTAAAAGGAATTAATGTTGATGGATTCCCCAACTCCATGTTGGGTAACATTGAAATGTGAAAAGAACAAAGGGATGAATGTAAGAGTCCCAGATTGGGGAGGGGGAGCTTGGGGGTGATACACGTGAAAAAGGAGTGGGTTTGAATTGGGCACCCTTGGCTTCCAGGCCTAAAAGCAGCCTTCCAAAGGGTCCTGCTCAGGGTGCTGGGCTACCAAAGGGGCCCTCAGCAGGGGAGCCCTGGTGGGTGGGCTTTCAAATATCCCGGTCCCCAAACAATTCACAGCTTTAAAGCTTGCTTTGGTAAATGGTGCACGTGAGAATTTAACAGAGCCCCTACTGTGGGGAGAAGATACGTGGAACCTAACGGCCCGGCTGATCAAAACACATCCATCATGGGGCAAAAACATCTCAGCTGAGCCTACGGGTCCGTCTTTCCCAGATGGCTCCCCCATCCAACGCCTAACTAAGCCTGAGCTGGCATAGTGTTCTAGGTTGGTGAATGAGAGCCACCTCTGCCCCTCCTGGTGATCCTGGGAAAAGAGGCAGCTGCTTTAAAGGGCTGCAGAGAGGGGCACCCTTTGCCCCATTCCACTCCTGGAATGGGAGGCTCTGAAGCACCTTTGGGAATTAGACACTTCCCCCCCCAGTCAAGTTCAACTCCTGCCAGCGGATGACTAGTATCTCTGTGTCGCAGACCCCAAACCCCAAAGGTGCTTTGGAACACACCGGCAATGCGCACAGCCTTTTCACCAGATCCCATCTATTTCTGGAATAACAGCGCTATCCCGTGGCCAACACGGGGAACGCAGGAGACACTTCCTGGCACCGCCTTCTGGGAGCAAGTCCGAGGCCCTTGGTGGAGCCAAGCACAGGGGCATCTTTGCTGCTCTGCGCGGCCACAGATGATGGAAGTCACGTTCTATCCTACCTGAAGGATTGTCACATAGAAAGGGGAGCGCACTTACCCTCTGTTGCCCCAAAACGTGGGGCCCAGAACCAAGGGGCTGAAGGTATATGGAGGGAGGTTCAGGGAAGACTCCAGGAGGAGCTTCCTGACTCTGCCAGCGGTCGGCCAGCGGAACAGCCTGCCGCATGAAGGGGTTCGGTCTCCTTTGCTATAGATCACACAGAGACTGGAGGGCCCTCTGTCAGAGACGGAGTAGTTCAGGGGGTTTCAAACTTTTTCAGGCCACGTATCTGTAAATTCAAAATTACCTGGAACTCCTGATCAGGAGGCAAAATTCTAGTAATAGAAAACCAGCTGGCGTGGAGCCTTCTGGGCCTGTGGACATGGTCTCTCAGAGAACCCCATCAAGGGCTCCAGGGAACGCAGCTTGACAAACCCTGCTCCGGTGGATACTGCCCTGAGCGGGGGCTAGACTGGATGACCTGAAGACCCCTTCCAGCCCTAGGATTCTCCGTCAGGAGGGCCCAGGTTAGGAGAGAGAGGAAGGGTTGGAGCCGGCAAGAAGCAGCAAGATCAAACCGAGGATTCCTGGCACCTGAAAGACGAAGACAATTATGGTCTCACCACTTTGCTCTGATCCCGGAGCAGAGTCATCTAGGAAGTGGACTAAATCCCTACACTGCAAGACATCCCTTAATCTTTAAAGGGCTACAAGGGGGCTTGTTTCCTGAAGGGGGGGGGAAAAGCAAGGAAAAGTTTTATTTGTGGCCGTACTTTCAGAACAAGGCTTGAGAAGAAACGTTTTACAGCAGTGTGAACCAGCAGCTTCTTGGCTGAGGGAAAGGCACTCTGCGCATGCTCTAAACCCCTGGCCTCACCTACAGGGCCATTTTGCACATTTGACTGAGCCGGCTAAGGTTGGACTGGCTTGGTGCTCGGAAGGGAGACCACGAGGAAATCACGGGGCTGTGGGCTTGGTCGGGAGTTGAAGGAAATCCCCGCAGCGCAGATCATCACCTTCCTGTTGCCAAGCAAACAGCTGGAGCTGAGTTTGCTTGAGGGAAATGTGTGTGTTTTATAGGCGCTTGACAGCCCAGCCTCAGACTTCAATTAATTCTGAACACTTTAAACACGATTTTCCCCCGGCGGTTCAAAGAAGCCTCAGACACAACGGGAGAGTGCCAAGCACCCCTGTCCCAAAGCCATTTGGCCCAGGCGCGCGGTCCCGCCGCCGGCCAGGTGAGGCGAGAGGTTCCCGTGGGAACGCGCCGGGAAGCTTTTGAAGACGAAGGCCCGCCGCGGAAGGGGGGCTTCCCCCCAAACCCAGCAGGCGCCCGTGAGAAAGAA